GGGGGCTGCCACAGCTGCTATTTCCTTTCCAATCGATGTAGGTTCTGCCCAGCCTCAGGCAAGTCCCTGCCATGACCGGTGTCACCTCCATGGTGGCCCCAAGGCAGAGCATTACGCGCTGCTGTTAGTGCTCTGGGAGCTGGGGACACACCAGTTTCCCAAACACAGAGCCCAGACAGTGGTTTTGCTCCATCTCCTCTCACGCGCACCACGAAAAGCAAAGCGCCGACATCGCGTGTGATGCCCAGGGTGTGCGGGGACAGGGCCGTGCGGGGAGGAGGGGACAGAGGGGGCCACGTGCTGCCCGGTCAGACGGATGAAGGAGAAGAGGGAACAGCAGCCGCTTGACCTTTTGGACTGGAGTGGCTGCAAAAGGCTTAGTGGCACCGAGGCAGAGACACGACCCTCTGCCATAAAGGCTCAGAGGGGGTTTCTGCTTGTTTTTAGTAACACTTGAAGGAAGCAGCAATAATCCCAACAATTTATCTGGCGGCCAGACCAATCCTCTTTTAGCCAGATTACTACCAAAGCCAGGTAAGCACCCGCCTGCCAGACGGCCACGCTTACACAAACATTTCCCTCCCGCAGCAGGAGGTAGAGCTGCGGCCAGGAGTTTGCTCAGTCCTCACCCGAGACAAAAGCCAGCACGAAAATCCCTCGGAAGCAACAGGAGAAAACAGGAGCCTGCAAACCATCCAGGCACCCTCTCGGCACGGTTTGGCCCGGGCACCCCCGGCACGGCACCGCCACGCACCTCACATCTTTGCCGACCGTCATGGACGCTATCACCTTCTTCACGGCCTCCTTCTTCTTCTCCTTCTTGTCGCTGTTCAGTTCGGCTTTCAGCTCAAATATCTCCCCTGGAGGAAGGGGAAAAGGGGGAGCTCAGGGGTGAGGGGATGGGGCACCCCCCCACACACTCTGCTGGGTGCTGCTCCCAGGGGAGGCTGAGCCCAGCTCCCACGTGCTGGGGCTTCCTTCGCCACCGCGGGTGCTCCAGGGTACCAGGAGCTGGAAAGGGGGGATTTAACTTCCCAAACATCTCGCCGAGGGCTGGGGCTGCTCCAGGGGCTCAGCCCTTATCCCTGGACACGGATATGAGTGCACTGGGGCATCCCTGCGGCTCCTCCAGCCCGAGAGCCCCAGAGGGCTTTAGGGCCCAGGGACACTGCGGGAGTGATGAGTGGCAGCACCCCACACCCCCAAGCACAGGGCATGGGGTTTATTCAGTGGGGATTTTTGGCCGTGGGGCGGTTACCCCAGCGCACAGCAGCCCCAGCCCCGCACAGGGCTGTCGGGAGGCCCTCCCCTACCTGCAGAGCCGGATGATGACAGGCACCCGCAGCAGCAAAGGCGGGAGGACTTGGGGAACTGCTCCTCTAGCCCACGCGAGGGATGGTGGCTCCCAAATCCCGCTCCGCACGTGGCAGCAATCCCCCAGCCCACTGCCTTACTGGGGGGGGGTGGGGGGGCTCTGGACCCAGCCAAAGGGGACAATTCCCTGCCCTCACCAAGCCACGCTGAACTCTTTATTCCCTCTTGGGCAGGCAGATCGAGGAGGAAGATGCCACATGCCCTTCCTCCACATTAATTCCTCGGTCTGCAAAGTGCTTTAAGTTGAACACCCCGAGCGCTTCTGTCCCAGCTCAGGGGAGCTCGGGGAGGCGGGGGGGACGACTGTCCCGCAGCCAACAGCCTTCAGGGGGCTGCTGACAAGGTGCTCTCACCCCACGGCAGCCCAGGAGCCGCCCCAGCTGTGTCAGAGCAGGGAGCGGGGTGTCAGCCACAGCATCCTGCGTGGGCTCAGGGCATTCACACAGGAGCTGGCACCCCCACCAGCTTCCCACTGCAGGGACAGCCCTCTCTGTCCAGCTTATACAGGTGGGAGAAGAGCCTGATGATTTGGGGAAACATTGTGTGACCCTCCCGCTCCTTTTCTTACCTTTCTTTGTGGTGGTGAAGTACTTTGAGTCCGTCATGGTGGTCTCCAGCTAGCGCCACGTCCCTGGGAGGAAAGGCAGACCAGAGAGGTTGTAGGTTGATAGTTCCCTTGCTGAGCTGGCGACGGAGAGCTCTGAGGAGGAAAAGCCAGAGGAAGGAAAGAGCTTGGGATCTCATGGGAAGAGCCAGAAGGAGATGAAGTGCCCAGAGAAGCCCCCAGCTCCCGTGCTGCCGGAGGAGCCTGTCCCCCGAGGAAGACGAGCGGCTCGCGGCCACGCCA